GAAAAGCAATCTGCTTCAGAACTGACAGCTACAATCAAAACTTTCTGTACACACAGCGCTAGACTGTAATATATGGATAGCTACAGGCTTCATTCAATACTGATTTCCCTGGTTGTCACAGTTTGATTTCACTAAATGCAATAAATGATAAATAAACCTGGGTTTTGATGAATAAGTATGCATCTGATTTATTTATTAATTATACAGCTGATTTATGTATTATTATGTTATTGTTTCCCTATCCAAGACATTTAAGAAGCCAACTGTTAATTCCTCATAGTGAAAGATGTAAGCTGTCCTTATGTAATAAAAAGTAATATCATAAAACAAAGTATAAGGTCAGTTGAGCATGCCAGGAGTCCAAAGCAAGAACCAAAAGAGTCAAATATACAAAGGACAATAATGCATTTGTTTCAGACTGAACAAAAGTTCCACTGTTTTTATCCTGCACCGGCTATAAAACTGTTGCTAGTAATATTTACTGTTGGAAATGGACTGGTCTGAATTCCTTAGGTCTGGTCATTTGGGCTTCAATTCAGCAAAGCATGTAAACCCCTGTAAGAACCCATTCCAGTTCACAAAAACTACTTAAAGTAAATGTGAGTTCCTTATGCGTGCGATGTTAAGCGGATGTTTAAGTGCTTTGTATAGAGATGTAGTTTGCCAAATCGTGGCCACAGAACTTGAGTCTTCCCTGCTGAAACAATGGGAGCTTTGCCAGAGATTTCAGTCGGAGCCAAGTCACACTCTGACCTTCTGCACAGAATTTGGATAGTTATTTTTGATGTTCCAAGCAGTGGATAAGTAGTCTTATCCTTCGATTACTTAGCAGTGACTTGTCAGTGAGTTCTACGCTCACCATATCTGAAGATCTTCAGTAGAAATGGGGAGATTTGAGCAATTATTGTGGTTTCCTGGGACATTTTGAAGCAGCTCACACTGATTTGACTTAAACCTTTGTAGCGTTGGGAAGTTTAATTTCTTCAACATCCATTTCAAATACAAGTTGGTCTTAAGTATATTCATAAGTACTAACCCTAACTATGATTTATACTTCTGATTGACATCCCAGAGCACAAAGCTCTCTATTTATTCTCACAATAGGAACAACACGTGCACTGCTAGTGTAAGCTTCTCCCAGGCCTCCCTAATGAGGGACCTTGGCCAACCATGGCCTTACAGGAACAAGCTGAGAGGACAGTTCTTTCTCTGTGTTCCTATAGTTATTAGTCCTCTGAGATTGTCAGCAACTGTGTAATGTGGTCACTTGTCCACTGAGAAAAAGACCAAGGTTCAGCAATATTTTCCACATGGGTTACAAAACACCTACCAGATGTCCTTCGATCATCTCTGACCTGGGCTTGACTTGTATTGTCAGCCAAAAACAGGAAAGGCTCCAAAGTACATTCCCAGTCCTCTGAACCACCTAGTCCTCCAGCAAGGATTATTTTTTAATGCGTTATTTCAAGGGAGTGAGTTTGCTCTCTGCCTTGAAAAGTGCGCAAGAGAGAGAAAGAAGCTGTGGTAAAACAAAATTAATCACTAGACAAAATTACATCATTTTATGTTCTTCATACTTGAGTCTTTCCAATGAAAGGAAAGATTTTGAAATCTTTTAGTTTTCAGAAACCTGAAGGCTGGGAGCCAGTTAAACCTAAGCAAAGAGTGGCAGTAGCATGGAATTGGGCAGAATCTATAGCTGAGAGTTGAAGTCATTGTTACCTAGCCTGAAGCTGGGTAGTGGGTAATGCTCGCTCACTGATGAGTGCCACCGGGTCTGTTTTGAAAAGGAGCTTCTGATCTCTTGTTCTGAGATAATTGCAGGTTCTGTGTTTCAGTGCAAGTACAGATGTTAACGCAGTCAGTTGCCTAAAAACATACAATCAAGCTGTCAGAAATTTCAACACCAAACATATTCCATTGGAAAACTTCAAGTGCAAGATCTGAAGCCAGGCTGAGGCTAGAACACTTAGTACTAGATTATAACTAAGACTGCAACTTCAGTTAAGGGGGGTAAGGACTCTTCTACCCTTAATTGGGCTACCTAGACCCTGTCTCCAAGCATCTAGAAGCAAGTAGGGATACTCACCTGCATGCTGTCTCCCTGGAGCAAGTGAGTGGGCACAGGCTGGGTATTAGCAGATGCCTGGCAATCAGGCCTGTACCTGCCCCACGTACTAAGCCAGTATGGTGGTGGCCACAGTGTACTGCTAAATTACTACCACAGTGTACCGCTAAATTACTACACCCACAAGAGAACAGGCATTTACTCAGGATACATCTCTGAGACACATGAGCTCCCAGTACTACTTCTGTGACATTGCAGGTTTGGGACCAGCCCTTGCTCAGGGCTGGGCCTGCAATCCCAATCCAAGCTTTATGGGAAGGAGCCGTCTCTTCAGTACTCAACAGTATTGCCAGGAAGACTGTCTCTGGCTGTGAACATCTGGCCCTTCTGAAACAGCTGGTGGCTGATTCTGTCTTCAGTGGGTCCGTCTACATGAGATGCTAACTGCACAGTAGCGGAAAAATACTGCGCAGTAGCACGTCACAGCATGGACAGTGTTAATACGCTACTGTGCAGTATTATTAGCTACTCCATAGTAGTGTCACCCAAAAGGCATTTGCCAGCGCTACTGCACAGTATCTCTGGTTACTGTTAATTTATTTAGTACTTGCTAATACAAGTACTAAATTGCGCAGGAGCAACTGCATAGTAATGTCTCATGTAGATGTGCCCAGAGATAAGGAGACAATCATTCCTCACCTGAGTAACAGAGGCTCACAGATTAAAGTCCCATTTAAGACCAACTCATGCGGGCCTGAGATTCCATTTTATCATACCTGCCTTAAGTGCAGTAGAAGCATTTCACAGCAAGGTGTATACTTGGTCAGAGCAGCAATGCTCAGTCACTGGTTCATTTCTGTAGGGGCTTTTGGATCCATCTAACCTCTATTATAGTCCCCGCCATACCCTCAGTATTTTCCTGGAACAGAGTCCTGTTGATTACACTACCAAGTTAACTAACAGGGAACCCAGATTCATTTCTTCTAGGAACAATATTTGCTTCTTCCACTTCCTCCAGTCTTTATTTATTAATTTGTTTATTTAATTGGCTTGAATATCTCATCAAAGGGCCCCTCATCCCCTAGTACAGACCCCCTAGTCTGTACTGTCTGATATTATTCTGCTCTATTCTATTCAGGCTCTTATGTCCAGTTCATCATCAGGAAGGTACAGTGCCTTTCATTAGTGCATTAAACAACACGACTGACATTTGTCGCATGTAGGTTGATCTGAACTGGTCTTTAGCTGCTGACATAGGCGAATGGTAGGGGGTGCACATGCCCCCCCCCGACGGGGCCGGTCCTCCCCCTGACAGCTGACACTGATGCTGTTGGTAGGGCTAGTGCCCCCCCTGCCAGGGTCAGTGGCTTCTGCAGGTGCTCCCCCAGGTCCAGGAGGCACCAGTCACTCATAGGTCTGTAGAAAGTTCTCCCTTTCAGCTTTTAAGAGGAAGGATAAAAATTAGGACCCTCTTCTTTTCTTCAGTCATCCGTCAAATTGTATCCTATCACCTCTATTTGATACTCTAGGCCAGATTTCTAACACATTTCCACAGACACCCCAGCAATATTTGTAAGAACACGTTTATGCTTTTAGCCCTGCCCCCAGTTGGTGATGTCAGTGTATCTTTATCTGTAATTGGCCTGTTTCATGTACAGCTGCTGAATTTGGATTTTTTTGCAAGAGCCAATGACTGTACACACACTTAAATGTTGAAAAATATAGGCCTATGTCATCAGGAAAGCACCTAAGCTAGGTGCAAATTGATGCAAAGTAGATGGGTGTATACTCAAGTGTGTGTGTGTGGCTGAGATAATTAACCATGAATATTTGGTATACATGTATGCATTTTTGCCTGTGCATTTGTCCAGATGTATACATTGGTCCTTTGTGTCACTTTTAGAAACTTTTTATGACTGGTTGAGCACTGAAACCACTGTGAAATCCTCTGTCTTTCAAATGCATAAAGATAATTTTTCCCTCTTCATGTCAGAGGCACAATAAAATACCATCACCTATGCAGTGCTTGTCTAAGTACCCAAGTCCAGAGATGCACAGCTATTTACCACTGATTAATAGCCTTGCATCTGTAAGCAAGAGAGAAGACATTCTAAGCAGTTCAGTAATAAGATAAAAAATATCTAGAAAAGGGACTATATATTACTTCTTTATGGACTCTATATCAACCTATAATGTATGAGAAACAGCACAAACTGACCTGAAGTCTCAACACACACTGATCCACCTTGAAATAAGCATCAAAGGATATCAAACACATTTAGAAATGTAAAGCAGTTACTCCTCCCATATGGTTTATTTAGAATCTCAGAGTTTTCTAAGCATGAGTAGCAGTGACGCCCATTTTTCTTTCCAACATGCAAAAGGCACAAGAAAGTGATAAACGCGATTCTGTGCAAAGTGTCTCTAAGAAAATACACAGCGAGAAAATTACTGAAATGAGCTCCCAATGAAAGAGAAAGCCATAGCATCTTCAGGAAAGTGCTGAAAAGTTCTGAAAATGGCTGCATTTTTCAGAGTCTCGATGCTCAGTCAGTGAAAGATGCTTTGCAAATCCATGAAAGGATATTCAAGTCACAGAGCCATGAGGCTAAAAAACAAAACAAAAAACCCCTTCTATAAAATGGAATTCAGACTAGAAGTTAACATAATGTATATGCGGGAAACAAATGTGGCTTTTAGTAAAAGACACAAGTTAAACATTAAAAAAAAAAACCAACATAGAAAGTGGATACATTCTAAGAGCAGCTCAATAAAAACACTAGTTTTCATGGAAATAATAGAAAAAGGGATACTTAAATAATGCAAACCCACTGCTTCCAGACAAGGCCCCAGATGACAATAACAAAGGAGTTTCTACGAGGAGAGTCTCTGCTACTTGTACTTGTGAAATGTGTGATGTGGCCAACGAACATTTTGAAAACGTAAATGTACAGAACAGAGTATCCCGATCCCATTGTTTAACCTGGTGCTTGGGAAGCCATCCGGGGTGGCCATCTCTCTGCCACCAGAATCTGCCTACTCTGGAGGCCGTTTCACACTGCGGTGGGTGTGGGAGCCCAGTCAACGCCCGAGCGCAACACACGACGTTCACTACAGTTTAATACTTCAACCTAAAAAAAAGGCATTTACAAGTTGACTTATTTTTGTTGCCTTATTTCCTTGCAGTATAAGTTTCTACTTCTAGACTATGGAATGTTACATTAACAATAAGTATTCATATCTTGCTTCAAATTTCATTACAGTTACTGAGGATTCATCATGATTTCACACAGCACAGAGACACCAAACTAAACACCAAAGAGCCAGCATTAGATGTATTTTTTCTTTAAATACCAATAAGCAAAATATCCCATTCCTCCCAGGGATCCCATAAGGAAGGAAGCTCCGAAGAAGGACGGGGGTTTCCGTTTGACCAGCCTGAAAGCGTTGGGCACCACGGCTGAGAGGAGGGTGGTGTGTATGTCTCCTAAAACTTTCCTGAAGGCAAAGCGTTTTTGTATCCTGTCAAAGAAAGACTGTAGGTTGGGTCTGCTGCCATCTTCCCAGTATTTCTTAGAAAGTCCTAGAAACTTGAGGCGGTGCAGTGTGGCTCCCAGCAGGACATCAGCCAAAGTAAATACACATCCGCAGAGCCAGAGTTCACACTTCTGTCCTGGAGAATGAAGCCACAAAACAGACATGATAAGAATGACCTGCTGTTTGGAAATTTAGGGCTTGACACTAAGCCCACAAAAGGCTAAGAGATTTTAGCAGTGTTTTGCCTTACTGTTTCCCAATGATTTTTCAAGGAAGTGGACCGGACCCTATGGAGTCTGAAAAATAATGGGCAGGACACCCGGCTGTGTTGGATTTTGAAACAGCTCAGGTCCCCTTTTTGTTGGATGCTTAAAGATAGGAACCTAACTAAGTTGCAGCAATATAAATGGTTTTCATGGTCTACTCGTGGTGCTCAGAGCTCAGTTTGTGGGCACTTCATGGGGGCCCTGTCCCTCACCACTGATTGGCTATGGGGCCCTGGTGGCCCTGCCCCTCAACACTGATTGGTGGAGGGTGCCTTCACTCAGTTTACATTGCTACCGCTTTTTTTGCCCTGCCCCTTGCTGCTGATTGGCAGAAGGCATCTTCCCTCAGTCTACATCACTGCCAGTTTTTATTTTGGTTGATTTTGCAGGACATTGTGGCCAATGCTGGATTTCCCAATGATCACAGCAATCACAGACAAGCTGTTTTTTGTGGTTTTGTGGTTTCTGCAAAATGTGCGAAACTGTGATTTAGGTACATCCCTACCTATAGATAGTAGGTCCCATCCTGCCCCTGATAAGTCTAGTATAAAAACTCCCCAGCTGTCCTAAACATTTATGCAGAGCAATTCCACGGGCCCTTGGCTACTGGCTGGATGTTGTCAGATGCTTTGGGAATGAAGGAAGTGTCTCATTGTCGTCCCCAGTAACACTCCCTATTTTCAACTTTAGGGATGTCAGAAATACTTAAGAATTAAATACTCTTCCAGCAGGGAGCAGGACTTAGCACAATAGCCCAGCCATGCCAGCAGTCGGGCTGTTGCTAAGGGGGCTCTTTTTGCCTCTTTAAACTCCTGACTTCCTTGAGGCTGGGTTTTTGGTTGTAGCCGTGTTGGTCTAAGGGCACAGGCAGGCAAGGTTCTTTGAGTAGATGTGATATCTTTTATTAGACCAACTGAGTAGTTGGCAGAGCCGGCCCATCCTCTCCTGCAGAACCTGCGGCTGCAGGAGGCTCCGTAGCCACTGCTGCCATCTTCATGTCCAGCTGCTCGCCACCCCCTCCCCCCGCTGGCAACCCGGCCACCAGCTTCTTCGTGCTCCCCCCTCCAACACTGCCTTCTTCAGCCACTCACCACCCCCCACTGCTGACGCCAATACCAGCTTCTTCATGTCAGGGGGCCCCAAAACTATATCTTGCAGGGGGCCCCAAAAAATTGTGGGCCGGCCCTTGTAGTTGGAAAAAAGTTCTTAGCAAGCTATCTGGCACAGTCACCCTTCTTCGGGCATAGGAAGTCTCTGCTGTTCTGAGACTCCAAGGAATGAGAGAAGCTAAAAGTGTGACAAGATGTCAGTGAGAATGTAAATAGGTAAATAGGTAGAAATTAAGAAAACAAAAAGTAAAGTAGGGAAGATGGAGAGTGTGGGGGGGAGAGCAGGGGAAAAAAACCCAAAAGTGAGTAAGGGAGACTACAGTGGTGGTAATTGAAGGTAGAAAAAAGGCAGTCTGTGAAAAGGAAATGACTGGAGATTAGGAAGACAAAGGGCAGAAAAGTAGGGGAGAAGCAGGGGGGAAAGGGTAAAAGGTCAGGTCTGGCAGGTACCTGGTGAATCAGATGTCAGGCAGGTTGTAACTAATGTGCCATAAATCCAATGTCTATAGTGAGTCCATGATTTTTTGTATCCAGTAGGTTGATGAAGTGAAGTTCATAGGCTCGTCTGTGAAAGGTGTTTTGTGAATTCCCTCTGAGGATTAGAACTGAAAGATCAGAGAGGGAGCGATTGTCTTGTGATAAATGAGCCCCTACAGGTAGTTGGGTGTTCTTGTCTTTGATAGATTTCCAGTGTGCGTTCATTCTGGTGCACAGTTGGTGTTTGGTTTCTTCTACATATTTTCCATCAGGGCATTTGGTGCAATGGATGAGATGTATAACATTTCTGGAGGTACAGGTATAAGATCCAGGAATGGTGATGGATCTGTTGTGGGGTGTAGTTATAGTGGGGATGGCGAAGATGTGCTGGCAAGTTTTGCATTCCTTGTCCTGGCATGGTCTGGATCCATTCGGTGTGATTTGGATTGTTAAGAACTTTTTCTAACTACTCAGTTGGTCTAATAAATGATATCACTTCTACTCAAAGAACCTTGCCTGACTTCCTTGAGGAAACTCTTCAGCGCTTCTGTGTTTGGAGTCAGGTTTCAAGGGGAGTCAATGTTTAATGTGGACACTAAGTATGAAAGAGATGTCAAAGAGTTAGACGCTGTGATAGTGCAGATGGATTTCTGCAGAGATTCTGGCCAGGAAGAGCTTAAAACACTTCCCAAACATCCTCCTAGCCCTGCACTATGCTAACAGGGATAAAGCACCAGGTGAACCTTATTAGCAGCAGCAGGTGATAACCTGAGGGGTGTGGTATATAAACCCATAGGGAAGGGTAGGTAGGAAAAAAAAGACAGGGACTTGGGGAATGAAAGGCAGAGGAAGCAGGTCAGAGCTCATCTTTCCTTTAGGGTTTGACTGAAGAAAGCTCTTTCTTAAATCTATTCTGCACTAGGGCTGTGGGGTGCTTTAATTATTTGACTTTTCAAGGCAAATAGCCAGAAAATAAATGATTTATAGATAAAGCAGTGGGCAGAACCTTTAGTGCCAAAGATTTTAGTGCAGAAACTACCCTCCAAAAGAAAGCCACTGAATGAAGCATAGAGCTGCAGGGCAATGCCAAACCAGTTTGTGGAGCAGAGCACTTAAGCCTAGATCCCTGCATAAAAGACATGGTTTGCAGAGCCTGTGAGTAATAGACCATGGTGTCTGGTCTCAGATATGGGGTGCAGTTGTTATAAAAGGTTAATCTTCAGCCTGAAGTTTCAAGTTACCATGCACGATGCTTTGTCTGGGATACTTCCAATTGTCTTAAACATACAAGGAAAGTTCTCTTCAGAGAGTGGAGATAAGAATACATTTTAGGCTAGATTACAGCTAACTTAGTGCTGTGCTGGCTTTGCTGGTTATTTCTTATTGTTAGGTAAATAAATGTTAGTTTAACACCTGCCTCGGTGACTGGCATGGCAAACTCTGCAAATAGTGTAATAATAGTATGTGTGAGATTCATAACCCTATGATAACTGATTACATTATAAGTATGAGGCACAGAGAGGGAGGAAATTCAATAGGTTCTTTTCCATCCCTTGATTAAGCAAGTGAGGAGAAAAATAATTTTGGAAGTGCTTAAACAATTTTGATGCCTGAGAATTTCTTTTCCCCATTGCCCAATAGCTTGTGGGACTGCATGAAATACAATCAGCTCTTATATTGGCTCTGCAGTGCACTGATGGAAATACCTGTGAACTGCATTGTGTAACAGGGCATTTGACAGCGTGTTCTTCACAGGCTATCTGAGGAAATTCCAGAGGGCAGAAAGGGAAATGCTTGGTGGGAGACGGACCCTGTCCTGCACTGGGAGACTAAAGAGCAGAGTCGCTGCAGTCACTGTAGGACAGAACCTGAACTACAGTCTACTCACTACTAAACATTTCTGATTGACTCTCACAAAGCCCAAACTATAGTTGTATTAAAATTGGCCCCCTCTCCAGAGCCCACCCTTTCCTGCACAGGCAGCATTGCAGGCTGGGCCCATGCACTACTACATTAATCCTGTAGTGTCATGATTCTGCAAGGAATGTTTAAATGAGGACGTCACAGCTCTGTTCCACCCTGTTTGAACAAATTAAGACAGCCAGATCAGAAACTGACAGAGAGGCTAGTTGGATCCAAAGGATGCCAAGTACTCTGTCCTGATGAAACCTGATCACCGCTCTCTTTCCCCTTCTCAGGATGACAAAAAGCCTCTGTTGTCTTATTCAAAGTACAAGAGGGAAACCCACAGCTTTTTTGGTGTCTCCATGCAAAGGTGCAATAGTGGGGAAGGGGAACTGTGAGTGCTCTCCACGAGCTCGTTACCCACAGATGATGGTCTGTCCAGGAATGAAGATGCTGCCCTCTCTGCTGTAGTGTGAAAACCAGATATGTACTGCAGTCAAACCAGCTTCTCCTTATTTGCCATTTAGTGTAGCTATTAGTTATTGCTTTATTAACCCATTCCACAGCTGGGTGAATATCCATGCACTTCACACAGAGCCCTTGTCTGGCAAGCTCAGAGGCTAATGATCATTAGACAAACGAGGCAAAGACAGACAGTTTTATGGCACTGCCTGTGCAAGAAACCGCAAACAAGGAGTGCCTGCTGGCCTTGAAGGCTGGAACAATAGAGCTAATGTTAATTGCAAGGCCTCATTTTTATTGCCTTGGCAGCTGGCCTAATACTGCCAGAGGCCCAGAGTGGGTGGCAGCACCCGTGTCTAATTAATCAATAAATTGTTTCAGTAGCTAATGAATCGCTAGCACATTGCAGCTGGAAGCCTCCTGGGCACCTTGTGGGAATCTGAGGATAGTCAGACCCAATGCAAAGGCAGTCTGTATTAGAGAGAGAATTTTTCTGTTCCATCCCCAGACTCTGCTGGCAGGGAGAGCCCAGGGATCTTGCAAAACCAGGTTTAGCAAAGTGGAATGCAAGTTCTAGCTTGTTTTGGACATGCTGTGCTGTGCTGTGCTGTGCTGTGCTGTGCAAGGCTGCAATGACACAAAACTACACTTGGAGGTGAACTGCCCTGGGGGAAAGGAAATGACTTCACTCTAGGAGGGCTCTATTGAAGTTTAAACATTATATATAGCTTCATTTCTTAGAGCTTTTCTCTCCAGGACAGTTCTGGTCTTTGGGGAGTTACTTTCTCTTAGCTCAGAGGGCAAATTTCACATTTAGTGCAAAGGTGGAGGCCCCAGGGGTGGCAGTCCCAGCAGGATAAAGCCTTATCTGGATTCACCCAGACAGAACACTGAAGGCTGGAGCTGCTGTAGCACAACTCACAGACTCCAGGGGAGGTGCCAAAGAAATGGCACAAATTGGGTAGAATTTGGGCATCTAGTGCTATGAAGAAGGAGATGGGAGCAGCTTTGCAGGAAGCCAGAAGGAAACCAAGTGTATTCAGCTGACAACTCTTCAGAAAGGCACCCCTTGGGAGGACAAGGTCCAATGGACACAAGCTGGTCGAGGAAAAGTTTAGGCTGGACATAAGGAAAAATTTATTTTCCATAAGGGTATCTAGAATCTGGAACACACTCCCAGCAGAGCTGGTGCAGTTGCCTTCCCTGGAAGTGTGCAATAGGAGGCTGGACAAGCACCTCGTTGAGCTCATTTGAACCCAATTACCTCCTGCCCATGGCAGGGGACCAGACTTGATGATCTTACACGTCCCTTCCAGTCCTTTTATTCTATGATTCTATGACATTAACAGCAGCCCTTGACTTCATGCCCAAGAGGCTTTGGCCCAAAAGGCACGGTCACGAGGCATCAATCCACTGACTTGAAAGCACTGGTTTCAGAGTTAATGAGCATGTTTTCAGACAAGATTCGTAGGCATGAACGCAGAGTCATGCCACACATCTGAAGTGACTAAGGGGCTTTGCTTAATTCCCATCCCCCAGGGCTGATCTTAGTGCTTATGGAGTCTGCCTGCCTCCTTTGCCCTGGGAGTGACACATCTCCCAGCCCAGCCAGAGCCCACTCTCTTGCCCTGCAGCAACAGCAGCTGCAGGTGCATGACTGACTAGTTCTGAGCTCCACTCCAGCCCAGGGATGCAAGGGTCTGGAGCCCCTCCAGCCCTGCTTGTCACACTGCTCAGGAGCCCTGTTGCTATTTCTTGTAGCTTTCATCAGAGCACGGGAGAGTGTGCCAAGCGCATCACCAGACACAGGCAGTGCCCATATCACTGCCCCAAAGGACTTGCAATCTCAGTGTGTCTGTGAAATGTGATGAGTGAGGGTGAGAAGCACAATGGAAGGGGAAGGTACCAAGTGAAATGTTATTAGAGAAGTCCTTGGGATCCTTTAGCAGTGAGGAGGCAGTCCCCTCCTTGGCAGTTACAGCCCAGGGGGATTAGTCTAGCCAGGGACAGATCCTGACAGTGGTTGTCCATCTATCCGACCTTCCACTCCCCTCTCTGCTGTGCAGCAGTTTAGTTCCAGCTGAAGCCTTCCCTCTGTTCCCATGCCAGGGTCCATTTGGGAAGGGAACCCTGTTGGGTTGATTTGCTCTTGTTGAATAATCAACTGCTTTCTCTTCAGCAGCTTTCATTCCCTGTGATTGACTGTTAATTAAATCTTTATTCTCTTCTGCTGACATCTGAGGCACTAGCCATAAAACACCAGCCATCTCTGAGCAGCACACAGGATTTTTCCATTTACTATTCCCTGAGCTCTCCCAGAGCAGGGGGACTGGACTGCCCACATCCCAAAGCCTCTGTGGCCAGACAGGTTCTTCTTACTGCTTATGGTAGGCTCCTGCTATGGCCCCCACCCTTATTACAGAGCATTCAAGAGGAACCAGCAGAGCCGCACTATGTGTCCTTGGGAATATCCTTGCTTTTCAGGAAGTCTGCAGCTTTCTGACAGGCAGCAGTGCCTGCCTTTTGGAAACCCAGACACAGGAGGCTGAGCTGCCATGAAAATAGCAGAACTGGAAGAACCAGAGGGAGACAAAATGACAGGGAAGAAAAACCTGACATCTGAAGTGTGTCCAGTGGTGTGAATATGTTGGGATGTATATTTTACAGTGGTAAGAGCCACCTACAGGCTGTTAGGTTTGGGTTCTAGCCCCGGCTCTGACAGTGATTTGTTGTGTGACTTCAGGAGAGTGATTGATTCAGAGTCTGTTTCCCTACCTAGCAGCGGGTGGGAGGCTGAGTCAATTGCTATTTGTGACACACTTTATAGGATGTATTAGTGGAAGGTACTACAGAAGTGCAAAGAGCTATTGTTTATACTATGAACAGGTTTTTCCTGCCTCTAAACACTAAATATAGGTGATCAAGACTGCCCATATGCAAGTGCAGGCCTAATTTAATTGCTTTGTTTGAATGCAAAAATTGAGCACCAGTAGCATATGTATAAAATGGTGTTTCTGGACATGAAAATCAGACTCGTAGAAAAGTAGCGCTGGAAGGGACTTTCAGAGCTCATCCAATCCAGTAGTTCCCAACCTTTTTTATAGTGCGGACCGGCAAACTCACTCAACGAATTTTGGTAGACCGGATATAGAAGCAGTCTAATTTACATATTTAATTTTTATGGTGGGGGCAGGTTGCGAGGATTGGATCAGGTTGGGGCATTACAGCCATGGGCATCAGGGGACCCTGCAGGGGAAGGGGCTATGCAGTTTGGTGGCCCAGGAGGACCTAGCTGGGGCCACCTGGGAAGAAGGGGCTCCGCTGCCTCCCCACCCTCTGCCCTGGGCATTTCCATGTCTGCACCACCCCCCCCTGCTCCCAGCCACGGGTGGAGCTGGGGGGTCCTGCCCGGCCTAGTGCAGGCCCTAGTATCTGCTGTGTGGGGGGTGCCTTGCCGGGCACAGCCATGGTGGTGAGAGCAGAATGGGGTGCACAGAGCCGGCTGCCCCACTGCTCAGCTTTAACCCGGGCAGACAGACAACTTAGCAGCCAACACTTCACAGCTGTGACCTGGTGGTTGGGAACCTCTGATCTAATCCAACCACCTGCTCTAGGCAGGATCATCTTTATCCCAATCATTCCATACAAGTCCTTACTTAACCTATTCCTTAAACTACCCAATCAACCCTGTTCCAAAATTACACGGCATATTGCCCAGAGGCACCAAAAACACCCTAACCTATCGTAGGTAAAGCAGGGGGACAAAGGCTGTCAGTGTCCAACCACTTCAAGGGTTTTTAGATGCAGGTTGTATGTGTTGCATTTACAATATTTTGGGGTGAAAAGTAGAGCTAGAGTTGTACAGACCTCTTTTGTGCACCACTGAAAAACCAAGCCACTACTTGCCAGCCCAAGAATATTTTTCCTTCCTTCTCCCTACTTTTTTCAGTGGCTGGCATTCATAATTGCTGACTCCATCTCAAATTGGTATCGCTTTGGCCTTTTTGTGTGACTTTATCCATCCCCTAGTGACAGGGAGTGAACTGAAGCTTCTTCAATTAAATGAATGCTAATGAGTTTCAGCACCATACACAAAGCCTGCACAGGCTGATGCTAAAATACATTGACAAGTAGTTATTAGAAATGTCGTGTTTTATGCAGAAAAAGCCATTCATTAATCCCCCACTGCCTGAGCAGTGAAGGCTGCTTAATCTCTTTCTGCAGAGGCCTCCCTGCTGCGTAACTCATGGGCAAAGTCTTATTTAGCTCCTTGTCTTGCAGTGCTGTATTTCTAAACCCCTCTCTGAGCTGAACTCCTTGTTTCCCATCTACTGCAGGAGAAGACGGGAACATTCCCTCTACTTCAGCTATATATCCTTGGGCTGACTTCACTGGCCATTCCTCCTAAGAAGTTTGGTCTGATTTGATACACCATATAGGATTCTTTGGGTGGACTTGGGCAGGGTCGAAGCCGGAAGTGGTCCATATGCTCATTCCCACCACTGATGTTCTCAGGAATTATTCTGCAACATCAGGACAGTGCTCATAAGAATTTGGCTTCTATCTTACATGTGAGTGATGGGAGGTGGTTGGAGCAGCAGATATGGCTGGTGTATGGCAAATCACGCCACTGAGATTTCACCATAGCAGCAAGAGTATAACTGCTTCTCTACCTCTGAGAGTTCATCTGGTTTCTGGGGTAGTTCCTTATGGGATGTCACCACTCAGTGAACAGAATGAGAATGAGGAGGGAAGGACATGTGGAAACATGTAACCAGTGTGTCTGAGATCAGAGGGGAGCATTTATTTGGAGCATTAATCCCCTGTGTGCTACATTGCATAGTGCTCAAAAGGTAGCTCTGAGCATTAACATCTATTTAAGACCATTCCTGGGCTTGGGAGTGCTGCTATAGGATGGGTTTTTTTCTAAAACAAATATTGAATGACATATGCCACAGGCAGCCACCGGTTGGAGTAGGAGAGAGAGAGCACCGTAGAGTGGTGGGTCAAGGAAATACACTAAAAACCATGGTGCTACTGAAAAGTGTTCAATTAAGACAAGGAGCTGGCTGTCCAGGCAGGTGTGACTGTATGAACCATGGCAATTGCCTAGCCCATGCCGGAGTGAGTAATAGGATCAGCAACTCAGTGGTCATGAATTAGGGTGTCTACACGTGAAGAGAAGGGAATGCCTCACATTTGAATGAGGATATGAATGTTGCAGAGCTACAAAGCCATGGCTCTGTACAGGGCCAGCTCTTCAACATTTCCTGGCTCCCACAGTAGCAAATACTCACAAAGGGACCTAATGCCTACCTTGATACTCGAGTTTCCTCTTCTCCAACTCAGCCTCAATCTGATCTAGCACCATTCCCAGCTCGCCGAGGATTTTCTTCAAGTAGTTCACATTGTCGTGTTCCAAGATCTTGGCCTAAATGAAAGCCAGAGATCTACAGTGAATGAGTGACACTGAAGCATCATGGAGCACGTGCTCTTTCCTGACCAATGCTTGTGGCACTAGAACATGAGTTCTATATTTATCTGTGTAAACAGTGGCTCTTGGCAGAGACCTGCTCAACTAAGGAAAGGGGCCTTCTATTTTAGCCTAAGTATAGTTCCTATTAGCTTAGCTAAAGTCAGATCCTAATCAAGGTGGTTTCCACTGAAGACCAACTCAGCCCAGCTCCAAAGAGCTCAGCAAAGGGCAGACAATTCCCATGTGAGACTTGTTCATCTTAGATCTTACCACTTTGGCCTGGAGGAAGCAATACCCAGATAAGAGCAGCTCAGCAGATACCTCTCTGGCTGAATCAGTAGGGTCTGCTGTGGGATCCCCTAACTGATCTGCTTCCTGCAGATTACATGGTTCCTAGGTAGAATCCCAGCTGCAATAACACGCAGGATTCCCTCACAGTGAGTCCAATCCCATTGATACAGACACAGGTATAATTTTCAAGGAAATAGCTCTTTAAAATGGACCTTATAAACCCAAATATTCTCCCAGGTTCTCAGTAAATATCCCAGTCCTAGCAATGGGTACCTGTGACTATACCATTCTCCCTCCTCTTCCTTGAAATAAAATGCGGCTATGAAGGCCTTACCATGAGTTTCTTCTGTTTGGAAAGATATGGCTCTGATAGCTGTGGTTCATCATCATGGTCCAGCTTCATCAGCTCTGTGCTGGCATTAACTAAATGTCCTGATGAGAGAAAGAAAGAGAGGCTGGGGAAGCTTTTGCATGCCCTCTCATAGTAGGTGGAAGGCTGCAGTCAACCAAGATGATGATGAACAGGCACTGTGTGAAAAAAGCCTGGCTATGAAAATATTATCTTCACCTCAGTTGCTGTGAGCCCTGGTGTTAACAGAGGTGACTGGAGTTTTAACCCTAAGAGTTGTACTACCTCAACACCAGAGCTGGATTTAGCTCAGCGTATAACTCACTTTTGAAGCTGTTTCTTGGTAGCAATGTTACATTTCCAGCTAGGGCAGACATGATTTAACTATGCACCAAATGGGGACAGGGCAAGAGGAGAAGTAGACTCAAGAGCTACAGTGTCCAGAGAGGAGATCTTGCGAGTTCTGGTGAAACTAGCAAGGCAGGTCCTCAGTAGTGTGATCTGGAGAGGCTCAGGGGGAAATCAATGGAACAATGTTAATTTACACCAGCAAGGGCCTTAATTTTACAGTAAAAAAAAAAAAAGACAACTCCAAAAGGGAAGAAGAAAAACCCTCAATTTTGACTGAGGGTAAATTTTAGTAAAACCCTCAATTTTGACTGAGGGTAAATTTTGATTCCAGATGGTTTGAAATGAGTCCTTTAAGGTATTCAATCACCTTGCAGTGCAGATCGTTTGTATATAAGGTGCTATGTGGACAGAAAAGAACTTACAAAGCACTCTGGAAAGCACTTTAATAATGTTTTATGTTCCATTACTATTAGTATTATTGCTCATTAATTGTATTACAGTAGCATGTAGGACTCCACTGTACTAGGTGCTACACAAACCCAAAGCAAAAAGTCAGTTGTTCCTTGCTTCAAAAAGCCTTCAATCTAAACATAAGCCAAGAGACAACAGATGAATACAGACACAGAAGACAAAGAAACAGAGATGTTGCTGATTAGTGTAATAGGCAGTGGTCTCCACAAAGCATTAGCCAATCCATATGGAGCCGATGGTTACTTCCCAGTTTGGAAGTTGATGGTTTTTGCAGTCTAGACTACACTGAACAAAACGGTGTTCTCACTTATACAGATGGTTTCAATACCACTACTCTAGATGTACAGCAGTGTGATTGAGAGCCAAATATGGCCTATTAATCATAACAGTGGATTCATCAGAACAATTGGTTCATCAGAGAGCAGGCTGGTTCAAACTAGAGGTGAGGACACTTTCCACTGTCAGCAAGAAGGAGAGGCAGATCTATTCTACCATGAAGGGGCCTGCTACCTCCATCCGCAGGAAGGATCAGGTGGCCAGCAGGAAGTATCAGGTGCATCCCTGTATGCCCCCCTGGCTTGAACCTGCCCTCCTTTGGCATCTATAGCTCCCAGTGAAACTAGTAGGGTTAGGGGATGTGGCAGGAACATAGGGGTTTTGTATAACAACAACTGCACTGTGTAGATGGCCAAGGGCCCCACCCCCTACTCTGACCCTGAGAGTTAGAGATGCAGAGTACTTTCAAGAGGTTGAAGGAGTTAATAACCCTTCAGGCTAGCCCATGAATAAAGTGATTCATACTGATTCCTCCTCCTTACCACCCTGCACCGCCCATAAATAATCATTGGTAATTATCACAACATCAGTAGCTCAGGAGGATGCAGGGCTAGTCTATAAATCGGCCTCTCACTTGCGCTTCATTCCCTGCACAGCCAGAGTGATTAACACCATTGGTGGCAAAACCACCCCATTGTTTGTCTGTTCTAAAGTGTGACCTTTACCCAACACAGCGCTGCAGGGGGAGGAATGGGCTGCAGACCAGAAGGAGTTTCCTTAGACATCCTCCTTACCCTGCTGGGAGGGAAATGTTGGACCTATGCAGGTCCCAGGGCAGATTTGGGTACAGTCAGCAGCCCGATGCCAAGGAATGGACCAGTGAAGGGAGTTGTGATCTGTTCTGATGCGTTGGCTTTGACCTCAAGGCACTGATAGTTGTGTATGGGGAGGCTAAGGCTGTAACAGCAGTGGGTGCTGCAAATCAGGATCGAGGTGATGGGTAAAGCTCTCCTTCCTCCTCTTCTCAAGGCAAGAATGGAGCAGTCAGCACATTTCCCCTTTACTTTGCTAAAGGCAGGTTCTGGGGTTACACTTGCAACTTATTCTCAACCATTCATGGTCCAGGGGAAGAGAAGTCATAATTTACCACGTAAAGAGTTACAGTTGACTGCCAGTGCCTTTCCCATGCCACCTCCCCAGTACTGAGTGTAGCAATACTTGAACCTCTGGAAGTCCAGGACTGCAGTTTGGCTACACTCTGGCCTTGCTGCGGTTCCTTACCTTCTACCTCTTTGAGCAGTGCCTGGGCCAAGGCCGGACACAGGCATAGGCAAACTGGGCAGCTGCCTGGGGCCTGGACAGAAAGGGGACCTGAAAATGGTACTTTTAAAATTATTATTATCATTATGTCTGGCGAAGGGGGGCCTGATACTAAAAGTTCACTCGGGGCCACCAGAAATCTAGATACATTGCTGGCCTGGGCCTGCCCCTGACAGATAAGGTGATACTCTATTTTCTTCTTGTAGAAAACATAAAACACTGTAAGGACACAGCACATGGAGTGGGGAAAGAAAATAGCCCATATCCCTGAAATAGCCCATATCTAGGTCAAACCTTGCATGAAGGCTGGGCTTGTGGGGACACAGACTGGCTCTGCCTGACCTATACTTGAACACTTCACCTTCTCTGCACAATTGAGCCTTGATGCAGATGTTACCATGTGTTGACCTTTGTTCTAAGGAGTCCCTCTGGAACCTGCATGAGCCCTGCCTAGGATGCCCTATTATGAATGCTACCAGGATGTTACAGGTCCCTACAGCAACAGCTGACTTTCATGCTATTCTGCTTGCACAACCCACGTAACTCAGCACCAAATCAAGGGGTTCATCTTTTCTTAGGTACTGCTCCTCTATCACAGTGTGAACTGAGGAGACCCACTGCAAGGGACCCTGCAACAATCACTGCAGCTGCCCCTAGCACAGGGCAGGGCAGGATTCTGGTTTGAGGCTGAGAGGTGTCCAAAAGAAAGCTACATTTCCCTTTTTGGTGTGTGCAGGTGGAGAGATGGGCTGTATCTCAGGAATCTTTTGTTCAGACTACCTTAAATTTGGGCCACAAGCCCAGCTCTGCATCCCCATGTGGCACAGCAATTTCCAAGAAATCATAATAAGCATTTGCATTTTAAAGCACTTACCAGCTGTTAAACAGTCAGTTTAGTGATAGCTCTGCAACAAAAGGGGCAAGTTCTGTAATGGACTCCAAGCAGATCCATCTCAACCCAGTGGGTTTCAAATACTTTTAAACTCTTCATTTCCATCCCTGGATCCTATTCAATCTGCCAGCACACAGTTTTTTTCAAGCTTTCCCGAACACTTGCTGCTGCACATCACGGTGCCTGCAGCTTCATCTCTAGCAGATCAATAGATTGTGTCAGGTTCCTTTAACTGTCCAGCTCTCATTTGCCATGTGCATACAAAGCAGCCATTGCAGGGACACTGATAGAGCTGAGCAAATACTTTACTGATTGCAAAGGTTCCCTTGGAAATTCTGTATCTCTCCCTCCTAAGCCAAGAGTAATCATTCAGTGCTGCAGTGAGAAGCTCTCCCTCTAATGAGTGATGTCCCAGGCACAGAGTTTGGAATCAGAATGGTAATGACTTGAAAGCATTCAGTGGTGTGTTTTTTTGCATCCATGTGGAAACTGTACAACATGAAAAAGAAAGAAGCCAGACTCAACAGCGACATATTTTCTAAGCCTTTGCAAGAAACACAACTTCATTCCCCGAGGACTAAACATCTACAGTCCCCTGACTACTACACACAACTCCAAATATGCTGCACAGCTATGCAGAAGAACTTCAGAGAAAATTAGAAATCATCTACTTCACCTACTCTACTCCAAAAGAGACCAGCTCAGGAAGGAAATCGTCATACACTACAACAACTTAAAAGATAGAAATCCATGCATGTTCTCTGACAATATACAGTGGATACAAAGGGACTATGAAAAACTTTCTACAGCATTCATCCTACATCAAAAGAAGAAATGGAACAAATTACTCCAAGAACAAGCTCCCCAGCCACAAAACAACCATCAGAGGAACAACACCAACACCTTACGACCTTCCA